AGAGCGGGGTGGAGCCCCCGCCCCTGGACACGGCCTGGGTGGAGGCCACGCGGAAGAAGGCCCTGCTGAAGCTGGAGAAGCTGGACACGGACCTGAAGAACTACAAGGGCAACTCCATCAAGGAGAGCATCAGGTGCCCCCGGTGGGCGGGGAGGCTGGCAGGGCGGCCAGGAGCAGAACTGGTCTCATGTGCTGAGCTACGTCAGCAAGGCCGAGTCCACTCCCGAGATCGCAGAGGTAACCAGGCCTTGCCCCCTCCCACCACTGCCGCCCCCTGGGCCTGGTCCTCCCGTCGGCCTCGGCCATCCTCCGCTGGGGCCGGGGTCAGCCTGGCGGTCGGGGAGGGTGTGGAGGCACAAGTGGCTCATATGTGTCGCCTTCCCCTGCAGCAGCGAGGGGAGCGGGACAGCCAGACCCAGGCCATCCTCACCAAGCTGAAGTGTGCTGCAGGTGAGGGCCGGGCCGGGCCCACCTGGTGCCACCGCCCTCACTCACCTCACGGCAGAGCTTGTCCCTGAGGCGGAGGCAGCCCTGGAGCCGACGGTCTCACGCTCCCTCCCTCCCTCCCACCAGGGCTGGCGGAGCTGGCTGCACGCAAGTACAAGCAGGCGGCCAAGTGCTTCCTGCTGGCCTCCTTCGACCACTGCGACTTCCCCGAGGTGAGGGGGCATCTTGGCAGGAGAGGGCTCCTGGTTGGGTTCTTGGTGGGGGTCTCTCCCAGCAGCACTCAGAGTGGGTGTGGGGGACCAGCCCTGGCTCTGGGCTTTCCTGCCTTTTGTCCCGACGGGCAGTGACCCCTGTCCCTGCCCCTCAGCTGCTGTCCCCCAGCAACGTGGCCGTGTATGGCGGCCTTTGCGCCTTGGCCACCTTCGACCGGCAGGAGCTGCAGCGCAACGTCATCTCCAGCAGGTGGGAGTGCAGGGCCCCGTGTCCCTGGCTACCATCCTCTGGGGGTGCAGGGTAGACGGCGGGGGGAGGGGGAGACAGGGCGGCTCTGAGGAGGTGGACCCCGCAGCTCTTTCAAGCTTTTCCTGGAGCTGGAGCCCCAGGTCCGGGACATCATCTTCAAGTTCTACGAGTCCAAGTACGCCTCGTGCCTGAAGATGCTGGACGAGATGAAGGTGAGGGCTGCCGGCTGGAGGCGGGGCGGGCGGGGGCGGGGGCTGCAGCTCCTGACCCTCTTCCTCGTCAGGACAACCTGCTCTTGGACATGTACCTGGCCCCCCACGTCAGGACCCTGTACACCCAGATCCGCAACCGCGCCCTCATCCAGGTAGGTGGGGGGTGGGGGTGGGGCGCAGGCCCAGGTGGGGCCATGGGTGCACCTGAGGCTGGGCAGCTGATGCCCGCCTGCCCTGCAGTATTTCAGCCCCTACGTGTCGGCCGACATGCGCAGGATGGCCACCGCCTTCAACACCACGGTGGCCGCGCTGGAGGACGAGCTGACACAGCTCATCCTGGAGGGGCTCATCAACGCCCGCATCGACTCCCACAGCAAGGTGGGTCCCCCACGCGAGGCGGCTCCCCATGGCGAGGCGGGGGGATCTGGTCCCACTGACCCGCCGCCGACCCTGCAGATCCTATATGCGCGCGACGTGGACCAGCGCAGCACCACCTTCGAGAAGTCCCTGCTCATGGGCAAGGAGTTCCAGCGCCGTGCCAAAGCCATGATCCTGCGGGCAGCTGTCCTGCGCAACCAGATCCACGTCAAGGTGAGGGTGGGCGGCACAGGGGATGGGGGCGGCACAGCCGGGCACACACACCTGGGCCAACGGCCTTGTCTCCACTGCAGTCTCCTCCCCGCGAAGGGAGCCAGGGGGAGCTGACGCCGGCCAACAGCCAGTCCCGGATGAGCACCAACATGTGAGGGTGCCCGCCGGGCCCTCCAGGAGGAACTGCACACCCTGCCCCCCTCCCAGCACTTCTGGAGGAGCCGCTGGGTTCCCGCCCTCGGCCCCCTGCCTGGACGCCTGTGTGACCCCATCTCTGCTTGTCCCACGGAGGAGGGGTGTCTGGAAGGCGAGGCCTCAGGGCCTCCTGCTCTCACATGTGGGGTTGCAGATAGTTGTGAACCTTAGTCCATTAAAAGCAGCCTCCCCTGAACTGTTCTCTCTGTGTCCGGCTCTTGGGGTTGGGCTGGGGGGGGCGGGCGGGGGGAAAAAAACCTTGTCCCTGGGCCCCTTGCATCCAGGCAGCAAAGGCCCAGCCTGTGCAAGGCTGAGCGCACCCTCCGGCCCTGGTCCAGGCAGGAGGGGCTCTGCCCGTTTCCCTCGTTCCCAGGGCTCCTCCCTCCCAGCGGGCTGTGGCCGGGGCACGCTGGCGGGGGCGGCACTGGCGCACTCTGTGCACGCACGTCTCTGAAGGTTTATTGTTCACTTTAGGGCACACGGCGCGAGGTCAGGGCAGGTCCAGCCTGGGAACACTCGCCGGGGCGCGCTCAGCCCGGTGTGGCCGAGGGTGAGGAGGAGCAGGAGGTTCCCTGAGTGAAGGCGTCTCCTTAGGGGTGGGGGGCTTCGCAGTCCTGAGCCCGGAGGGGCGGGCGGCAGCC